ATCATTCACCATTTTATTAATTAGAATTTTCTTTTATACTTCCATTACTCAAATATAATATTTTGAATAAATCATATATTCCAAGTTTTATTCATGAGATTTTTCAGTATTTTTTTGGTGAAATAAGATAGCTTATTTCTCTATAAACTTGTAGCCTCCTAACAATCATTTGATATTTAACTACGATGTTTCAATAATTTTTTTTTATTATTCTCTTATGTCGTTTATATGTTATTCATTCTCTTATATTTATATTCATTTTACATATTTTTAATTTTTTGAAATTAAAATATATAAACATTTATCTTATCATAAACTCATAATGGTTTTGTTACTCTCAAATGAAATACAATATAAATGAAAGATATTTTTTGTTATAATTTTTTATTTACAATAATAAAATACTCAAATATTCTTGTATTTACTACTTTTGATCATTTGTTTATATATTTTCGTTTTCTTATTTAGTTCCACTTTATTAGTTATAAGTAACAATAAATATACTTAAACATAAATTAAATGAACATTAAAACAAAAACAATTTTGTCTATGTGGACACCTTAGATGGAAAGAGAACTCTCTCATTATTAAATAGATTTAGTTATTCCTATGTTTAACCTAAATCACAAATATATATTAATAACTATTGTGTTTTTCATTGGTATTGATATTTTTACCAATGTAATATATGATTTCCACATTTGTTCACTATTAAAAAAAGGCTCCTGATTTATTTATTTTTGCAGAAACAAGCCTCCGATTTGTCTTGTTTAGTAGAAATAGGTCCCTGTTTTATTTTTGTTTGCACAAATAAACCCGTAAATTTTTAAAATTTTAACATTTGATATCTTTTTAAAATATAGATCTAAAAACCTCAATTTTTATTTTTTTTTTGCTTAGGGCCCGAAATCTCAGGACCCACCCTGGGTGGGTGCGTCTTTGGTTGCAGTGGACAACAGACTATTCACGAGCGCTGTGTGAGCTCGAACATGGCTGCGACTAGGCTTACACTTGAGCGCCAAGTCACTGTCATACGGGAGCAGTTGGCGAGTGTTGTGGAGATGATGCAGCGATACATGCCACAGAATAGTGTAGCAAATGGAGATGCTATCAGGTCTCTAACTCCTCGTACGGGAGCTTCACCAACTGGTCCAGCTCGTGTGCAACAATGTGACTTAGAGGCGAATCTTGAAGCAGCCATGAATGGGGTGAACGGTGAGTTTCCAAACCATGAAGACCCAGCAGCAGCGA